CATTGATTGTTCATCTTTCTCTTCTATTCATTAATTTCGTCACCTTTTCATATTCACAAATAAATACTATTAATAAAGCATGTGCTATGGGTGGTTCTTCTTGCGGTACAGGACAAGCATGCATCAATGGTCTATGTGAATGTGATCCAGTGCATAGACGTTTCTGGACAGGCGAACAATATCAGTGTCGTGTTTGTCCACTAGACTATATTCGCACACGTAAGTGAAAAAATATTCTTCTTTTTAAAATTTCTATTTTTTATTCAGCAACTCGATGTTATAAATATTTTAAAGCATCAAAAAATCACAGTGAAGCACGTGCTGATTGTCGTAATAATCATGCTGATTTATTTTCATGGAGAGATAATTCTGATGAAAATGAATTATTAAAAGCATCAGCAGCACATTGGAATTATAATTCTCTTTCTGTTAAAAATCAATTTTATTCTTGGAGTGGTGGTATGATTCATCATGGTCAAGGTTAATTATAGAAATTCATTTTATTTAATATTTATTATAAATTTCTATATTAGGTTCAAGAGCAGAATATAAAATAACTTGGTTTGATCCAAAAGCACCAACTATTCCTCATCCAGATACAAATGATCCACTTACTGAACGATATTGTAATGAAATGGCGATAGCAAATTATCATGGAGATCCTGAACCTACTCGACAAACTAAAAATGGTGAAAAAGAAAATTGTGTTACAATTGTTTTTCTTCCTCAACCAAACTCACGTGGACATATTTGTATGGCTGATGATTATTGTTCAACAAGAATGGGTTATATATGTGAATTAAGTAATTATTGATTTTGTCTTATTGATTATTAATATAGCTTTGGTTTTTTACTTGTATAGCCGAAGCAACATTATCAGGGCTTTTTCCAACACGTAAGTATATATGCATTATTTTTGTAAACCTACGAGAATCATAATAGTTATTTTTTACAGAAAAAGTTATTTCTTTTGTTTTCATTAGTTCCAACACCAGATAGAATAATAGATGGTCCTTCAGAGAAACCTTTTGCTGTTAATGAACCAATGAATAATGATTCTGAACAAGAAGAGTTAACTGACATGCTTTCACCATTAGAAGAAAAGAAAGACTCGAGTCTATTTAATATATGGATTTATGTTGTTGTTGGTATTGTACTTCTTGTGATTATTATTATTGTTGCATTTATTATTATTCGAAATCGAAAAAATAATTATCCAAATATGAATGTTTCACCAACAAATAGTATAGTTACATCAGTTATGTCAAGCACCGATGTACATCAAAATGCTTAATATTATTTATCATTTATAAAATTATATAAGATCTATAAAATATAGACGTATCTCTTTATTTTATTCTTCTATGTTCTGCTTGTGTTTCATAATAGATATTAGACAAAGAAAAGTGAAGTTTTTTTAAAATTTTTGTATGCTCAACAATAGTTATATTAATGTCATTTTCGATTTAATCAAACAATCGTACATATACAATAGAGTTTTTCTTGTAATACATACTACAAAAGAAATGATACATAAATAAGAGTCAAAGTATAGATCATTAACTTTTACTAGACATGATCGCTTTATTAGAAGATGTGCACCATGAAATTACCGACGAAAAATTAATTAGATTTATTTCTATAGAAAGTTGTGACTAAGACTGACATCTCGATGTTTAAAAATATTTTTGCTTTTTCAAACTTCTATTTGTATAAAAGCATTGGAGTGAAAATTGGTTCAATCATGATTGAGTAATTTATCGTACTTAAGAACAGGTCAGATAAGTGAAGAGCGATATTGTTCTACTAAAAGAATTCCTTTTTTTTAGTGATAATTCGTCTACAAATAATGAAGAATTATAGGACGAAGTAATTGATTCCATAAAGAGGAAAACGAATTATCGAAAAGGTGAATATGTATTACCATGGTAGTAAAGAAGCTAAACACTATACTTTTTTTATATCAAATAAAAGTTTGAAAATCATACTGTAACTGTGAGAGTATCTTCCCAACGTCAAATAACTCCGATTGCGGTCCGGTTGCAAAAAAATCGTATTCATACAGGACACTATATAGTACATACTGGGCTGTAGGCTAAAATTTTAGTAGAACGGTTATAATTTTATAGGAAAGGTCAATAGGCCATTATCCTTTTGGAAGTTTGTACTACCTTATTGAAGTTTGGTAAAACTGAAACATTTTTTGCAAATATTTTACATGATCAAATATTTCATTCATTACTAATTATTATTTCCTATTATTCGAATGTAATCCTGAAATAACTATTTTCTTGTATACTTCATCAATCTAATCAATTAAGATTAGTTTTTATATATGTAATACTTTCAAATATTCTATCATATACATAAAGGTTCTATAATGCGTATCATATAATTTTTTTTTCTACAACAGACCGATTACTTTTGTTTTGTCGCCTGCATTTCAACATCTTTTGTAATTCGAGATGGCTTCCTCGTTCTTCTTTTATTGTTATCGTACTACAACTCTAATAAGGTATGTGAGAATTCAAGACGAATAAAATCTTATCAAAATATTGACTTGTTCTTTATTTTGGTATTTATTTTATTATTCATTTACATTTCAGATTTGATCATCGAGAATGAATGATACAATATCAGTACCATTTATTGTCATTTGACTTAATAATTTTCTAGAGAATTCAGAAACTCTTGAACTTCAACGAAATCTTTCTCTATTTATTAAACATTTAAAAACATATATAAATAAAAATGAAAGTGAACAGTACATACAATCATCATCAAAACAACAATGATTTGTTCTTATTACTAGTGGTCGAATGGGTCAAGATTTTATACCACGTATACATCAATTACTACAAATTGTTTCCATATATATTTATTGTATGAATAAAAAAAATACATGAAGAATGGTCAAAAGAATATTAAAAAAGTAAATGAAAAGAATATTATTTTCATGTAATAATAAACTTAATCAAAATGAGATTGTATTGATTGTTATTCAAAATTCTCAAATACAGTAATAGATAATCGAAAGTCTGTCCGGCGAATGAAAAGCTATAACTTTATGTTCTTTCCAAATAAGGGATTAGAAATTATATTCAAGAGTAGTAAGATAATCTTTGATAAGTTCAAAATTTTGGACAGCCATAGCTAGTGAATATGTTTGTTCAAAGAGTTCCCAGACTGATTTTATTTAAAAACAATAAGAAGCGCTACTGTATTTGTAGTATTGTCTGTCCATAGTTCATACAGTCCTCTATCTATAGACATCATGAGCTCAGTTGAATTAAACATATATATGAAAATATAGAAATACATTTTAGACCACTGTATATACACACTGACGGAAAATTAAAAACTTGAGCAAAGTTTTATGTTTTGAAAGGCTAGTTGTTATTCAGTATTTATGACTATATGGTAACTGTTTGCAGTAATAATGCTTTGTCACATATTACGATATTTGAATGGGCTCGTCGTTCTAAAGGCTAATAAGAATGATTCTAGATATGGTCGACTCATCGTTGACATCATCTTAGAATATGTGGTATTTTCGTAAACTGACTTTAATCGTATATAATTGATCACATTAAATACTATGCATTGTAAATTTAAAATGTGAACAGTATCTAATATTTATCCAGGTGCAATTCAACTTTCTTACATTATCAGTCTTCTAAAATTTTTTAATAGTCATGTTATTGATATATAGATTATTATCAGTGTATGATAATCCATCTTTACAACAATGATCCCATTCAGAAGCCTCAGTGAGTGATAGAGAATCGATCATCGTGAGCTATCACTATACATTCATAAATATTAAATGAGGCATGGTTTTCTAGAACAAGAAATTTTCTCACTGATCGACGCTCAAAATTTTTGATTTTTCGTCAGTGTATATACAGTGATCTAAAATGTATTTCTATATTTTCATATATATGTTTAATTCAACTGAGCTTATGATATCTATAGATAGAGGACTGTATGAACTACGCACAGACAATCATACAAATGCAGCAGCGCTTCTTATTGTTTTTAAACAAAAATCAGTCCGGGAACTTTTTGAACGCATCATGTATGTATCTGAACATTCATCTATTGCAATGACATTAGAGAACTTAAGACTTGTCTATGAAAATAAAGAAAATTTTCAACAAACATTATCTTATTATGAACAAGCAGCAAAAATCTATCGGAAAATATTACCACAAATGCATCCAGATGTAATGCAAATTGATGAAGCTCTTCGAAGAACCGAAATCTGAATTGATTTTTAGAAAATAAAGACACATTGAACCAGTAATTCAAAAAAAAGTAAAAGTTGATAATTCAACATTAACATAAGCTTCAAAAGAAATTGATAGCTTTTTACAGGAAGAATATTTCACTAGTGATCATATATTCCAAACAACGAAGTTCAATAATCAAGTTCTTAAAATAAACTTATTAGGGAAAACATGTATGCCTGATACACTAGCAACAATTGAAAATTTGTTTCTGCAAGTCAATATTTATATTTTAATATGCTTGGTGTCAATGTTCATAAATATTCTTTTTTGTTTCTAAACAACTTTGATTTCAGGCTATTATGTATTAAAATTTAATAATTTTTTCTACTGTCTTGTGAAGCTACATGGAAAAAAGAGTTCATTTTACACTCCTTACTTTGTTGACAAGACTATAGTAGCGTTATGTGCGATTGTTCTTGTTTTCGTTCTTTTATGTATAAAAAAAAACTTGCAGTTAACATTTTTTATACAAAATGAGTAGAAATAGACTTGATTCGTTCAACTCTGAAGATGAGATCGATTCATGTGTTTTTTACAATTGAATCGATTCTCATATTTCCCGACGCAAAAAGGAGGCGCCTGTCTACCAAACTTTTTCCGCCTGCCAGTTTCATCGCTGCTATTAATGTCTAATATTCATATTAATGAAGACAAAATAAATGAACTATCTTTTTTTCCCGCATTTGTTGATCTCATCTTTTTTTATCTATGTTTACATTAATCGTATATATCTATAGTAGTTATATTACTATAGTCATTATTGGATTAAATTCAGAAAAAGGCAAGAAAAATATTAGTTATAATGATGATTGTGGAATCTCATTACAAACTAATATAAATTATAGTCTTGGTAGTTCAAACGCTATTCCAGATGCATGGCCATGGATAGCGGTATGTTTTATTCATATATATTCATTATAATCTTAAATAGTTTATAAAAGAGTGTATAGAGTCTTCGACAAAAAATACCTGGTAAAGAAGCTATACATTTCTGGTAAAAAGTTTGATATTCATATTAACGATTGAAATTCAATTTATTGTTTGTCTTAGTGGAGGTTCAATTATTTCTCCTCGACTTGTATTAACAGCTGCACATTGTTTTCATAATATAACTATTTCAACAGATCCAAATTATGCTCGACGAATAGGTGAAGTTCATATTGGTCAACTTGGTTTAAATGAACAGGGTCATCGAATAGCAGAATGGATTAAAGTTATTATTCCTGAAAAATTTCTTCCATTTCGACCACATGATTATTCGTAAGTTATTAAATAAATATATATATATATATCAATAACTTCGAATAGTAGTATTATTTATTAGATAATTGTTATTATTTAGTTATGATATTGCTTTATTAGTACTTAATAAAGATATTATTGATAATCAACATTCTGCTATTTGTTTACCATCATCAAATATTATTAGTAATATTGGAGATTATGGAAGTAATTAATTCATATGATTTAGACTATTAAATTTAATAGAATTATATTTTAGCTATTGTTGGATGGGGAATACATAATGAAACTGATACTGAAACATCTAATTATATGATACAAGTTACTGTACCTATTCTTGATCCAACAATTGCTGCATGTAATCCATTAATATTACCTCCGAAAAATTCTTCAATGACTATATGTGCTGGCGTTTTATCTGGTGGTATTGATGCTTGTCAAGTATGAGATACAAAAAAATTCTATGTTTTATAATTAAAACTATGAAAATCAAGTTTTTTTTTCGGATAGGGTTTTTCAGGTGGACCATTTGCACAGAAATTTAAAAATCGTTGGTATAATATAGGGTTAGTTTATTTAATTGAATATAAACTTGTTTGAATTATCGTTATTGATTTTGACCTTTTGCTCTTCAATGTTAAGAATATTTTATAAAGATATGTAGAACAACAAAGTTTTTTAAATAAATACTTGAAGTTTTGTTTTTCTTACTAGAGGACATTGACAACTATAATACATGTTAAAATATCCTTTAGAAATGATTTCTCGTATGAAAATGTTGCTGATCTTCAATTATTATTTTTTAAATAGAATGTTACTGGAACACAGATATTTCTATTATCTAAATATAATACAGAAAACGTTACTGCAGTCTAGACAATTTAATATATACTCTATAATCTGGACATAGAAAAAAAAGTATTTTAGGTGAAAATTTCACTGGTCTAAAAAATCGATTCTCTAGAAAACCTAAGTATTCCAAAAATTAACATGGTCGATAACTGATAATTCAGCAGCTCTCATAAAAAAGTGACTAATCAGTTGGAAACATTTTCTAGTTAATTGAAGACTAAAATCGATAATCATTTATGAACTGATCTGTATGTATTTTGCAGATTTTACAAAAACGAAATTATGCAAAACGGTCCAAAAAGAAACTTGCAATATGATTTTTGCATGTCTAGAATTTAATTTTGAACTCAATTATTTTTGTAATACCCACAGACTATATATCAACAACGTCTCGTTTTAATATTTGAACTACTTCTTTATTGAATTTATGAAAGATTAAGTAAAAAGAGAGTGAGAAGATATGTTCCAAAATAGATAGCATAAAGCAGTTTCTTATGATTGCCAACAGTAGTTACATCGTGTTTTACATTTTAATCCTCCACGGATTGCACTACTTTATTTTACATACATTTCATCATAATTGCGGATAAACAACAAATTCATTAAATATGATATTTATACTGGAACGATATACTCTCACTAACAGTTGCTTTTGAGTTGAAATTTGGTTTTAAGAAAGAGCAACAGGTACATTCATTGTGGAAAAAAATTCGAGTTTAAAAGTAGTGTTTGGTTTTTTACAGATATTTTCATTTTGAAGGCATCATTTAATTTTTTTTTCTCTAGCAAAACTATAACATTTTCTTGACCTTTTCTACTCATCAATTCCAAACTCCAAAATTTGGTCAAAGTTATCAAAAATGTTCTAATCGGCATCCTGTCCTATTCACGCAACAATTCTGGCAATCTCAGGATACGTTGAGTTTAATCATAGTAGAAATTTAGCAATAATTCTTAGCTATAAACGTCTAGAAACATAGTTTGAAAATTTCATAATCATAATACTATTTTATTATGATGGAATGTATTCAAAAAATAAGAAATATTGTTTTTTTTTTCTTAGCTCTATCTATAACAAAAAGAAATCGATTCAAAAACTAAATCTTGTAACTAGAGACCTCCGATTCTAATGAGTAAAAACAAAGGTTCCAATTTCAGTTCCTAAAACGTCTCTTTTGAACCGGTGATTTTACAATAATTTTTTCCGATATTATTAATGTGTATTGTTGTTTTAAAAACGATTTCTTCGAAACATAAAACAAAAAATATTTTCGTTCATAAAGAATCATATATTGAGCTAAAACTCTATGTAAACATTGATAATAACGCTGACTTTTTGTGTCTGAATTTTAGTAATTCTTGTTTTTTGATTTTCTACATTGATAGATACATTTCGTTAAAAAAATCCGTAATAAAACTGAGAAATTTCCCAAAAGAAAAATTCAAATCTTTTGAACCATACTCGATTTTTTCAAAGAGTTTAATGAAACAAAATCACTTATTAAGAAGAAACGTCTGAGTGTCAACATTTTTTGGTTTGATTTAGAGTATTTTCTTATAATTTACGCCTGTACGTAAAACTTAGTTATTAAAAAAAAAGATGATTCGTACATTTACAACATGAGATCCATTAAAATAATTACAAAAAGTGATGTTTTTGATTACAATCATTCTTATGATTTCAAGTTGACATAAAACCTAAAAAATTAAGTGTTTACTCTCAATCATTTAATCAAACAAATCTGATTTCATCTTATTTACCCTTGGGCAAATGATTATTTTTGTATATTCAATTAGTCGATGAAAAAATATTTTTTTCAATTGAAACTTTCAGGATAGTATAAAAGTCATTAGATCTATCAATGGACAAAATTTTCGGTCAATACTCTTTTTATCCACGCTTTCGAAAATTCTTAGTAATTTGTTAAAAAATTCAGTAAATCAGTTCCAACTCCGCTTCGAAAGTCAATACAGACCAACTCTTGTCAGCTTTTCCTATTTTTATTAAGACTCTCCTGTGGGTTCAATATGAACTCAAATGACAGGTGTCAGTCTGACTTTAGATTATGCAATATTTAAGCAGATGCCAGTAAAAATTCTTCTATTCCATTGCTTTTTCTATACGTGAATGATTTCAATGATAGTAATTCACTATAATATTTATTTTGTATTATTCATATGAAAGAAATCAAGACATAAGTTTCTATTACAAAAGAGAAAGAACAGTTCATAAAATTTTATATATATAGTAATCTTTTTCTCATATTGTATCTGCCTGAGAGCATTTCTATTGAAATAAATCATAAACATTATACTATATTCAGGCAAAATTTTATAGATATATATATAAATATAAAACAATTATCCATGCACTGTGGATTGATGTTCTCATACATAGACACTTTATAAATAAATGAAACGAATATTTGTCTAAAGTACTGTCTGAGAAAAAAAAAGAAATAAACAATACTACAAGTGTATTTATTAAGCAAACAAAGAATTACTTTTAGATGTTTATAAAACAAATATAATCATTGGAAAGATATTTCTTTACTTATAGTATTGTTTCACATGGTCTTGGATGTGCAAGAAATAATAGTCCTGGTTTTTATACACGTATCAATACTCATCTTAAATGGTTATGTGAAAAAGCTAAACATGAAAATGAACTTTTATCTATATGTTTTAACAAATTTCAATAATCTTAATTCATATTATTCTATTTATTCTTGGTTGTTTTATGTCTTATCTTTAATGTTCAATTAATACACAAAAAAAAAATAATAATAATAATAAACAAACAGCGTATTATGTTAATACACACATACACGCAAAAACTAATCCATATACACAAAAAAAAACACAACATCGCCTTGTAAATTTCATTTATCTGTGTGTGTGTGTCTGATTTATTAGCAGTGTGATAGAATTAGATGACAACAAAAAAAAAAGGATGAACACAAAAAAACAAAAAGCGACTGAAACTAAAAACTTATAAAGAAAAGAAAACAAGACATAATCTTGCGTTCAATGGCAAATGAAGACAAAACGAAAGAATATTTATTTCCACGGATATAGAAAGAACAATATGAAAAGAACCTTTTTAATAGTGTAGATAGTGAACCACCACAAAAAACAAAAAGATAAATTTCTAGATACTGTAAACAAAAAAGAAAAACGAAAACTCACACACAGTTTTCTAGGTCTAGAAGAAAAAAAAAAAACAAAAAAGACAATATCATTTCTAATTAAATAATAGAGAAACCAAAAGACAAAGAACACAAAAAAAAAAAATGAATTGTTATTATTTTCATTATTGTTATTGTATATTGAAATTTATTGAAATCTCTGAGTAAGTAAAGCTTTTTCTTCATTATTAGCATCGATAAGACGTGTAACCATACTTGTACCTATACCCCAATTTTGAATACCATCAGCTATTAATACATCTTTATCACTTGTTGAACTTTTACTTGCTGTACGACTTAAAATACGTACACGTGAACGTGATTTAAGTACAAATTGATCGGGAAATTTATAAACAATTTCATTATTGTTATCAACTCGTCGTCGTATTGTCCAACCTCTTAATTCTTGATCTTTGCCTGTTGAACCGGCATTCTCAATAACAATGAAATTACCTTGTGGATCTACTTGATCAACAGTAACAGGACCTAAATAAAATAAATATTGTACGAAATTAAATTTTACTCAATAGATTAATTTCTATTTTCTTATGTCAATATGCAATAAACATGAAGTTATATAAAGGAGAAATAAAAAAAAAAAAACCTACATCAAAAGAATCAAAGATAAATATATGATAATATTATTATATATTTTAGACAAAATGAGGAAATAACTATTATACTAATCTATACTATATATAAATGAATTGATAGATTTTTTGATTATGTATAAATAAAAATCATAAAATCTTAAGTATTTTGTGTTTTTTTTTTTTTTTTCAATAAAAAATTGTTGTTATAGGTAACTTAATGAGCAAACAAAATAAAATAATGATAAAATTGAAGATAAGAAAAAAAAAATATTGTAATGATAAATAAAAAGAAAAGCTAACACTCAAACTTCATATAAAACGAACAAGAATATCTCTATATGTGTATGTAGGGGTGTGGATGGATGATTTTTTTTTTTGATTAATAGTCTAACTGAAATAATTAAATTTGTTATCAATAATAGTAAATTACTGATGTATTATTAAATTTTTCAAATATTAAATTTTTGTTTGATAGATAGAATATTAATTTTTATTTGTCAAATTGATTTGAGATCATAAAGATTTTTAATTATCAAATGAAGACAAGAAAAGATGTGAACTTTAGATATGTGTTTTTTATTGAAACATATGTTGTAATTATAACTGTCCATCTGCGACTAATCGGTTGTAATGAGATAGATATATGATTTGTTGTTGTTGTTAAGGAAAAGAAGCGATTGGCCTAAGGGAGTGATGAATGAGAACAAACAAAAAATGTCTTACCACCATCATCATCATTATTATTATTACTATTGAACGAGAGAAGATAGACAGATAGTAAAAAAGAAAATATCGATATATGATCAAACGAGTAACAGTTGTTCGGGATTATTTTATATCTTATAGGGAAATATTCTATTTCTTATTATAATTTTAAATATTTCTTTTCTAATTGTATATTAATAACTAACCTCTTGCTGATTTTTGTACGGTCATTTTTTTAGTTGATATTTCAGGTGTTGTTTGAATACGAATTTCTTCAACTTCAAGTAAACGTCTATATGTATTTATTTCAAATTTAAGAGAAACATTATTTTGAAGTATAGCATCAATTTCATTTTGACGTTGTTCAGCTTTAGTACGTAATTCAAATAATTCACGTTCACGTTCATTTTGTGCTCGTGTATGATCAAATGCAATATGTTCAAAATCTTCTTCTAATTGTCGAAGTTGATTTGTCAATGTTGCATGTTCCTTTTGTAATGCACCATATGTTTCACGATTTTCTGTTAATAAAGTTCTTAATGATGTTAAATCCATTATTTCAACACTACCAAATTTACGTGCTTCATCAATTTTACGTTTTTGTTCAATTGCTTCTTGACGAATTTCTTCGGTTTTAATTCGATAATATTCTAAATAAGAAAATTAAAAAAAAATATTAATTTTTTCTTCTCTTTTTTTGCAATTCTATACCTTCTAAATCTCGTCGTTGTGCTTGTGAAATAGCTTCAAAATCACTTTTTATATCAGTAATAGCACGTGTTAATTCATTACGATAAAATTGACTAACATCAATTGATATTGTACCAAGTGCTGATATTTCATTACGTTCTTCTTCATGAATAGCTTTCATAAAAGCTAATTGTTCTTCTAATGTTTGTAATTCATTTTGTATCATAACACGTGCCATAGATTCTTGATCAAATTCATTTTTTAATGTATCTAATTGATCCAAAAGACGACGAATTTCACTTTTACCACGATCAATATCTTGTCGTTTATCTTCAAAACGATTACGTAATAATTCTAATTCTGAATTACTACCTTCAAGTTGTTGTTTAAGCATAGTAAAACGATTACGATCAAGAGTAATTAATTCATGTGCAAAATCAGATTGATGTTTTATTAATGATGCATCATATTCAGCACGTTTAGCACGTAATTCAGCTAAAGCTTTATCACGTGTAACATCATCAATTTGTTTTCTTAATGAACGTAATGTTTCATCATATTTATCTTTAACTTGACCAGATTCAAAACCTTAAAAGCAAAAACAAAAAAAAATATTTATTTGTTTTTTTTGGAAAATTTTTACCCCATTTTTGTTTAAGTTCATCAAGTTGAAGTTGTAATTTACGATTTTGATTTTCAAGAAATTTAACACGTTCAAGATAATTACTAAATTTTGAATTAAGTTCTTGCATTTCACGTTTTTCATCTTCACGTTGTATAGCTAAATTACGTACAACTTCTAAACCAGAACGACCAATTGAACTATCAACATTTCTATAACCATGTTCAATTACTGTTTTACGTATAATTGTTGAATCACCACGTTCAATAGACATTTTTATTTAACTTTTAATTCTATATTTAATGATGAAAAGAAGAATAAATATAATATAGACAAGGCTAAAAGAATAAACATAAAATATTGATAGAAACAAATGACTATGTTAAAATGTTTAACAGAGGTCAACTCAAGGTTCTTTAATTATACTTTGTCTTATTCATTTTTTTTGTTGTTTTTACTATATATATATATACATATAAAACTCTCATCACTGATACACTTGAGTGAACTTATGATATATACAACTATGTCTGTCTCGTGATCTTTTTTTTTTCAGTCAGGAGATGTGATCGATGCGATAGACCAACAAAATTGGGACCCAATGTATTCATATATATTCGCCTGTCTATTTCATTCGAAATATATAAAGCTTTATTTAAATAAAAAAAAAATGGGAAAGAGAGAGAGAGAGAGCAAAGCATGAATAATCAGCCGACGCGTCTTTCCTTCCTTCTCTTCTTTGGGTCGTCATCCATCTAACTGTATTCTTCTCTTCAACATTCCTTTCTCTTTACTGCTTACCCTCTCTCTCTCTCTTTCGTTGATATGACGATTGCAGCAACGAATGAAGAGCACAATGAAGAGAAGATGATGAAGAAGGACGAAATGGAAGAAAGAGAAAAAGAAAAAAATAATAAATAAAAAGGTATGAATACTACAGATATTTATGATAATTAAAAAATTAGATCTTAACTCATTTCTATAAGTACTAAGTTAAGAATAAGCAATTAATTAATAACATAAATATGTATCATCAATACTATTATTCATATTACAACAAATGTATGCATTTATAGGAACCTAAATCTCCTATTTATGCGGTTTATACTATTTACATATTTACACATGTAATTTGCCTACATCCTACTTTTTTCTATGTGTTCACTTGTAGCCCAAATGACAGCAACAACAAAAATATTATATTACATTTGTTATGTTAGTTAATATGGAAGAGAGAGAGAGAGAGAGAAAAAAAAGAGACAAACTTTCCAGAGAGGGAGAGACCAGGTATGATATAAGGACACACGATAGTTGATAACTTCTTCTTGTTTGTGGTAGTGTGGTTTTTTTTTCTTCTCTTCATATAGTCGAGATTATTCTTACAGCGTAATAAAAAAAAAATGAGATAGCTGTGATAATAAAAAAAAAAAAAAAAAAGAGAAAAAGACAAGAAAAGAAAACAAAGATATGTAGGTAACTATTTCAATAGTTTCATGAATAAATCTTGTCATACCTAGAAGTATGAGAAGACAAGTACAATGTAGTAATAGTTCTTTTTAAGAATAGAATTACTCTTCAATATACACTAATAACATAAAAAAAAAAACTCAATATTTGAAGGATTCTTCACTACTTCCATTCACTTTAACATATATTGACATATACATCATGTCAGTCTATCTTAACTAACTAACTGATGGGTGACCCTCAAGACATTGATTGTTACTAGTTGTGTCTGTTTTTTTTCTTCTCTCTTTCTCTTTCTCTCTCTCTCTCTCCCCTATATTGTGCTGCTAAGCAGCTCAACTATGCAGAGGGTCTCCTTTTTTTTTTTTGTTGCTCTCTTACCACTTGAAAATAAGAGCACACCTACAGGTGAATGCAATGATTGTGTGACGGAGCAATATGTTTATCTATGTGTTACACCACTTCGCTTGTATTTAGTCGAAAAGGTTGTTGTTCTAGTTCAGGTAGCAAATATAAGAATTTGTTTTTTCTACCTGATTAATCACATATAAAGATTCTTCTATTCGATTAAATACAAATGCTGGTGGTCAAGTCAATTTCGACTAATGTATGTGAAATCGAGGATACTTGTAATAAAAGCATAATAGAAAAAAAAGAACAGAAAAAGAATTTTGCGGTAAAAATCATCATTATAATTCAACATCGGATTGTTATTTGTCTGATCTTTCTTTTTCTTCTTTGGATAATATAACCGTGCACTCTTATCCTTCTTATTACTGAGAATAAGTTTATATGCTCTTTTGATTATAGCTTTATTCTTTGTATATATATATATGTGAGCAATCATCATTCATCAGGATTGTTATATTTTCAGTCTTCTACTTGGGTAGCACATTATCAATCACTCATTTTTTTTTGTAGTTTAATTCAAGCAGATATTTGAATAAAAAGCTAAAAATCACGTAGAACATAATAAAACATAAATATATATGAAAATAGATAAAGGCTTGAGTACAAGACCATTCATGTTTTGTATCAAATTGACCAAAAAAAAAAAAAAGAAGTATGTTATACATTCATAAAAAACAGATGTTTATTCTAAATGAAAAAAAATCATTGACTTATAAGTTATCTAGATAAGTTATTGTTCATGAGAAGAATAGATGTTTTGATTACTTTAATAAATCAAGAAAGACATTAAGTTTAAATGTATATGTCTATCTATATGACTAGTTTTATTTTATAGTAAATAGAAAGCTACCATCATAAATGAATATGGTAAAGTAATTTTGAGATTTATTTTTGTTTAACTTTTTTACTATTCTATTGATCAACTCATCTTGTTAATATATAGATGTCACAAAAGAAATTAAATTTAATAGAAAAACAAAAAAAAAAATCTATATTGAATGATGTGATGAATTCAAAAAAAAAAAACGAGAAAAGTGATCAATCAAAATACATTTGATACAAATTATTTACACATATTGTTTCTCTTTCAAAGTCTCTCAAATGAACTATTTAAATAAATTTAATACATACTTTTTAAAACGATGTTTAGTTTATTCAAATTGTACACCAGCAAATAGTTCTTAATAATGTTTTAAAAAACTAATAATTCACTTCAAATTGAAAATGTATTTTAATAGTTGTTGTTGTTGTTGTTTTTGCTTATAATTTTGACCAAACAAGCTAAAGCAAACACAAAAAAGAAAGACAAAAGACGAGATAAAATTTTTCTTTTCTAAAGGAAAAATCATGTTTATTAATAAACGTAACAGTTATATGACACACATACTCGAATATTCTTTACCCTGTTTATTATTTGTCGGGCTTTTTTTTTTAAATTGACTAGCCAAACAAAAAAATATTTATGCGTCAATAATATTTTTAAATGGACCAGACGATGTTGACACTGACAAAAAATGTGTTATCTGAAATTTAAGAGGAGAATAATCTGATATATGGATAATGTAACAAGTACATAGTCAGTCTTATGTAATAAACAATCTTCTTGCAATGAATAATAATAGTAGTTGCAACAGCAGCAACTGAGAAGACATACAAAGAAAGAATTCGTTTGCAACAGCCGCATCTTTTTGTATGTCTACTTATATATATATATATATGGGTTGTTATTGTTCCTTTTTTTTTGTGCAATCCGATGTAATATTAATGTACAATATATTTGCTCGTACAAGAAAACAATGTTTGTCTGTATATGACAATATGAAATTTGAGAGAACTTCAATTGATATATGAAAATCAATATGAAGTATTTTTCATGTCCAAGAAAGAAAAAAAAAATACTACTCTATGTTTTATAGTTTCTTAATGATCACATAATAAAATTTATGTTTAACAATAAATGTATAGTTAGATAAAACGAAAAAAAAACGAAGAGTTTTATCAAAGTCTTTTTTCCTTGACAAAGTATACTGCATTTTATTACATTGATGCAAATAATGCTTATGAATCGAAGAAAGATAGTGTCAGACAAGTGGTTTTTAAAAAAAAAAAAACAAAAGATAAATATTAACAGAAAGTTCTAACGCATTAAAATATTTTTTTTCTTTGTTCTAGACAAAATAAATAATGAAAGATGATGACCTTGCTAATCAGTATATCTTTACATACTACGCTTTACGTAGTTTTTTGCTCATATTCAAATACTCTAATCTTTTAACGTGTGTCTGCTAACGAAAAGGAAAAAAGCGGTTTGCTGATCTTCATTCTGATTACATTTGTTTTTTTTTGGTAAAAAACTCTTGTAAGAGAAAAACATTGCAACATTCTTTTAATATCTAATATATTCTAAGATACATACAGTCTCATATAATATACATGAAAACAAGACAAAAAAAAATACAATTAATCGAATGAACTGGCTACATAAACGAAAAAAACGCTTTCATAAATCCAATAGTTTCATGTTTATTTGCGAAATATAAAATAGAAATGAATATAATAATATCTATCTTGAATTTATATAATAAAAAAGTACTATGACATATTAACAAGAACAACAACAACAAATAATAATATTTTTAAAAACAAGAAAATAAGTCTTCAAAAGTATTAAAACGTCCATATGAATATGCTGCACGTTTACTTCGTGACCATTTACTAAGATCATGTGCATCACCTCCAAGACCATATTTTTCTTTATATAAACGTAATTCTTTTAAAAAATCAAATGATTCTTTATCACCATATTCAAGATTATTTCTATCAATTTGAGATGCATGTTTTAATGCTTTCATAAGTTTATCATTTGATTTATTATTTAAATCAATTATAATTTTATCCATAATTAAAATCCAATTACAATAAACAATCTAAAAACAAAATCGTTTTTTTTTTTTTTCTATTAAATCATTTCATACTTGAAGAATATTTGTATATGCACTACAAACATCAGCAATAGTTAAAAATAAATAACCAATAATAATAGCTTGTTCTAAAACTTGTTTAAAATTTGGTATTTGTTTTAATATTTTATTTAATTTTTTAATTAATATTTTATCATCAATAGTATCAAGTTTTTTAAACATTATATTAGGTAATAAACCATGAAGAATAGTTATATAACATGCACCAATAACACGTATTATAGAATAAAATCGATCACCATCATCAATACCACTTATACTATCAGTATAATCAAGTAAATATGTTAATGTTTCAAGACGACGAAAACCAAGAATATAATTAACTTTATCAGATGATTTACGTTGAAAATTTAAATGATTTAATATACCTTGTTGTTGTACAATAAATATTGTTTTAGTTAAATCAAGTAAACAA